AGTGAAAAAATTTTTTCATGAGTTGTTCTAAATGTTTGGACCATATTTTTACAAGAAATTCTCATTCTTATAAGATTTACAACAATGTTTTCTGTATATTCCAAATAGGGACATGCAGCATTTTCTGTTTAACCTAGGAATTAGTCTCATGTAAACTGTCAACCTTTTAGTTTTATTACTAAATGAGTATGCCAAATCAAAGCTAATAACCTACATTAACTGTTCAATGATTTTGGAGGATAGATGAAACGAAATCCTGAACAAACAGATTACAAAGCCTAAATGTTATATGAAGAAGCAAATGAGGCCATTAGTAAAGTATGTATCTCCTACAGAGGAATGTAAGTACAGCCATACAAAAAGGGCAAAGAGGTTCTCAGGGGACCAGGACTGGGGACCGGTTCTGGAGGACTAGAATGAGAGCTGGTAATCCTGAGTACCCACAGTGTGATCATTTGCTAGATTACACTGTTCCCCAAATCACTAGTGGGAACACAGTCACACAAAGTAGTAGCCATCGTCACCAAGAAAAACTGATCACAGGTTCATTTTTACTTTTATTTTAAAGGAGAAAATTGATTTTATAGTGTTATAGAACAGAAAAGAGTTTTGGCTATGATCATGAACTTTCCAAGCTGATTTTTTGCTCTCTTTACATCCTGAAGCTCATGTTTTATCCTCTCTAATGTTAAAATTTCTTAGGATTGTAAGGAAATTAGAAATATTGAATCATGTTTTGATAAAGTCTGCAAGAATGAAACCATGTCAAGGCTTAGTGGCAGGTGAATGCTCAGAAAAATCAAGTTTACAAGCATGATAACTGGGGGAAAAAAAATCTTTAGAAGATGTATGCGTGCCTGTCTTTTGGAGTGTATTTCAGCAAACCATATGGGGCATTAACCATTTATTATTGAATAGAAGAAAAGTGTTTAAGAACCCAGAGTTGTGGTGCATGGTGCCTGTAATCGAAAGACTCTGGAGGCAGAGGTAGGAAGATCATGAGTTTGGGGCCAGCTTGGGCTACACGGAGACTCTGTCTCCACAACAGTAACAAAATAAACAAAAAAACGCAAAACCAATAAAAGCCTTGGGCTCGAGTTCAGGCAAGAGCAGTTAGGTACAGTGAATGGACTTTGGCAAATTATATTACTTCTTCAAGTTTCAATTAAATCATTTGGGAAGCAGCTATTATGAGAGCATTACAACAGCTTGCTCCAATTGTCTCAAAATTGTCGTAAAGACATTCACACACTCAGATAATGGATGTGAACGTGTTTTGCATACTGCAAGAGCTTTAATATGCATTATTACTAACACATTGATAACTACATTGATTTACAGTAAAATTCAATATTTTCTTTTAAAGAAACTCCCAAGACAACACGGCAAATATTAAGTGTTCTAATTTCTCATTTATAATGAAGTAATTAAGTAGAACTGAACCAAATGAACACACTAAACATGATGCAAAATTACACAGCGGGGAATATATTTTTTCCTTTCCTAGCTCAGCTGTAAAAACAGCTAACAACATAGACTCGGATGACTACATTATAGGTTCTGTATGAGATATGCCTCATAGAAGATGACCAGATTAAGTAAGGAATACATGCATAATATAGGACCCTAAACTCAGCATAACCATGGTTCTCTGTGTTTCTACCCTGTATACACATAAGCATATGTGTACTTAACAATAACGTGATATGACTAACAGATGGGTAGAACTGTCATACAATTCTCAGACCTGTATGGTAAATGGAGTTTACTGTAAGGATCCAAAGCTAGCCTTAGGAAACAGGTAAAATAGTTCCCTCTGAAATTCCCAAATAAAAAGTAAAGAAAAATTTAGTACAACCTAGTAAATATGGGAGTGCCATTTAAGACTGGAAGACTGAGACAGGGAAGTTGGAGAAAACCAGGTTTAGTGTCTTAAAATCAGTTGTCTGTGGTCCAAAATAATACCTTTATTTTTCAGCTAGGATTGATTTTTAAAAATTAAAGATTATGTCAACTTTTAAAAACTATCAAAATGCAAAATAAGAAGTAACACCTTTTCAATAAATCAAGTTTTTATTTACATCACACAAAAAGTTTAATCATTCAGAAAGACAACCACAAAGACTTGTACCAGCAGAAAGTTTGTAATCTTTATGACCTGAGCTAAACTCTCAATGCGCCTAAAAATTGCCTTGTGTTTGCTTAATGGATAGTGGCAAAGACATGGCGATGGTGGAGGAAGCGCTGGGTACTTGTGAAAGTTCCCATTGCTGTACCGCACCAGTTCCACCGTCATAGACGCCTAAATGTCCCTCAAAGGGCTCGTGAGTTTCATATGCCCCACCTTTCTACTCAAAACACTTTACAGAATAGGCCATGCATCCGATGGCCTCGGTGAGCTCCAGAACAGACCTGTTGAGGTGAACCACATGCACTTCCTCTTAGCAATGTGGGGAGTCCCAGCCTACACTCCCAGCCTTACTTCAATCTCTCTCTAGATCTCTTCATAAAATATCCTGACATGATCCATAGGTCAGAAACCTTCTATTTACTGGCTGAGTTCATTTAAGTCTGGGCTTAAATTTCACGGTGGGTTCTGGGCCTGCAGAGGAAGGTGACTTGATGCAATGTGATTCTGGTTATTTGCTGTTTCACTGTTAGCCAAGCAGTCTAACAAAGCTCTAGCTTCAGGTCTTCAATTTAGAAGGCTGACACTGAGGTTCAAGGCTGAGTATGAGAACTCACTATTCACATTGCAGCAACAACTACGTAATTATCAATCCTGAGAAATAGAGCTTAGAACACAGACATAAACACGGATGGAATTTTATCTTGTAAAGATTGTGGTTTATGTAATTTCAATAATTTCCAAGTTTTGATTTAAAGAAATAATCTTCTAAGCCATTTGGACATTTTATAGGTACACATATGTATCAATATACACTTCTTAGCTCAGATTATTAACTAATCACATATTTTGGAAATAAATGCTAATTTACTTTAAATGGAAGCAATATCAAATACTCCTACCTAAAAATCAAAATCCTAGTTTACCGTATATAATAAAGACAACCAAGCAGTATTTCCTTTTTCTTTAAGCAACAACAAAAATATATTAGGAATGATGTGTTATCCTGGTTGATTTGGCTTGGGTCCAAGCAAATTGTTTATTACATCTCCCTGAAAGAAAAAAAATTGCACAATTACAAAACAATAAAACACAATTTTAAATGTAGTCTTTAAAATGTCACTTGAAATGTATACTTTAGAGATACACATTTACAGGGCACTCAGTAAGATTGTAAAAGAGGGAACAAACAAAGGTAGGTTTAAATAACACTCACTTCCTAGTATAAACTTGCCCTTTCCTAGGAAAGTCTCTTTTAATGAAGTTTGACAAACAATTTTATATGGATTCAGTAAAACGACAATTTTAGCACCTCCTGTTTACTTTAATGCTTAAACCTGAGCTTGCGCATCTGTATTTTCCATTCTTTCCTGATCTGTTGTTAATGGATGACTTAGAGAGTAGAATTTTTCAATTTCCATGTGGGTTTGTATTTTCATTTAATAACACTTATTTGTACTAAGAAAAAAGAAATGATCGCACATAAGAGGATGAAATCAGAAGTTGAAGGCTAGGTTTTTTAAAAAGTAGAATATATAGTGAAAGGTGGGAACTGGGAGTGGAAGGCCAGAGTTCTCTACCACAAGGTAAAAGCAGTCTTGAGAAAAATCAGCATCAAAAGGTTATGAGAGTTAAATAAGCCAACCAAGAGGAACCTTTCTTAAACCATAACCATAACCACTCGGATATCACAAGTCAGGTCCTGTCTTTTGGCCTATACTATATTACCTTGGATACTTCCCCAACCTGCACCATCTCAAAGACCAAACTATTAATTCCCCTTAGTAATTTGTTCTTTCACGTATCCTTAGTGTCTCAGACAGACCCTGTCACATAGTGAATGCTCAGCAAATACTTGATCAGTGAAAGAAAAAATGGCGTCATTTTTCTGACTTCAGTCATTGAACATTCATTTATTATATATCTGTTTCTAAAATCTCATTTTAAACATTTCACTTTTCAAATTTTTTCCTTTATTTTAGACAAAATGCAAACACCAAAAGCACAGATAAAAAATGGTAAATATTTGTACACTGAACTAGTAAACTTCCTAGCGCTCTCTTTCTCTCCAAACTGTATATTCTACATTTATTTCTTTCTGTCCCAAATATTTGCTCTTTTCCACTGTAGATCTCCATAATGTTCACCATTAATAGCCACGCCACCATTTCTATGTTAAGGTGTCTTGAAATTTCCTCTGCCAAAGAAATTAGCCTATTACTTTTCAACTTAGCCTCAGGCAAGCTCTTAGGCCATGGGCAGACTCCAGCCAGGCTCTGTCAGTTGCTGCCTAAGTCCTGACTTCCCTCTGAACTACATTGTTCTTAGCACTACTTTCTTCCAGGCTCTACTAGACTCACTTGTTAAGTTCTGTTTATAGCATTCAACTGCTTTTCTAGTCCAAACTTCCAAAGTCTTCCACGTTCCTCCCAAAACTCACATGGTCAGGTCTGTCACAGCAACATCCCACTCTCTGGTACCAACTTCTATATTAGTTACTTTTCTGTTGCTGTGATAAAAACACTGACCAAAAGCTGGATGTAGTGGCACATGCCTTTAAAAATCCCAGCATTCGGGAGGCAGAGGCAGGTGGATCCCTGAGAGTCAAGGACAACCTGGTCTACATAGTAAGTTCCAGGCCAGCTGGGGCTACAGAGAGACCATGTCTCAAAAGACAAAAAAAACAAAACAAAACAAAACAAAAAAACAGAAAAAACACCAACAAAACACTGACCAAAGTAACTTATAGAAGGAAGAGTTTATTTTGCTTATGGTTCCAGAGAAGTAAGGAGGTATGGTGGCACAGGATGGCTGGAGCAGAACACTGAGCGCTCAAACAAAGCGCTCATTCCCAAACAAGCACAGAAAGCAACAGGTGACTGGAAATCCAGCAAAGCTTAAGCTCTCAAAGCCCACCCCTAGTGACATGCTTCTTCCAGCATGGCCACACCTCCCAAAGGCTCCCAAAACAGCACCACCAACTGGGGATAAAATGTACAAATATTTGGAGCCTATGGGGGACATTCTCATTCAAACCACCACAGAAGGAGACCAGAGTCATTGTCTACATATAGAAAAATGTTCTTCTTAAAAAGTCACTGAAATAGACTTCCACCTAATTCCTAAAGTCCAACTCTTTAAAGCAAAACTTATATACCCCATCCCCAGCACTTAGTCCTCAATCATGCAGGCGAGGAGCTGGTGCTTCCTCAATCATACATGCTAATGGATGGTAAGTCCTGTCAGCAGTCAGCTGTATTATAAGTTGTAACTGCAAGCCTTGGCAGCCAGTCCCATGTTCATATCAGACAGGAGCCTGGTGTTACTGCTAGCCACTGATCGAGGCAGGCATCTTCAGGGGCAGACTCCAGTATTGCTGTATCTTAAAGCATCCCTTCCTTTATTTTCAGCTAAAACTTTATGAGGTAAACTGAGCATGCCCAGAGGCATTCCTGTCATCACTTTAATCTTTTAAACATGTGCTGTGTGACCTTAAACCAAGCACCAGGTATGAACACTGTCTGCTAGTTTACCTTTGTTTATAAAACACATACCCATCCAAGTCAACAAATGTGGGCTAGGGAGATGACTCAGTGGGTAAGAGCACTTGTTCCAACACCTGAGTTCAAAGACTCAGAACCTACATAAAAAGCTGGGTGTAATCCTGTGAGTGCCTGTAACCCCAGTGCTGTGGGCAGGCAAAGTTAGGAGGATCAGTGGGGTCCGCTGACTGCCAGGCTAGCTCCAGAATCAGTAAGAGACTATCTCAAGGGAACAAAGCAGACCATGATAGAGCAGGACACTTGCCATCCTCTCTGGTCCCTGTGCAAACACACAGGCCTATAAGACGCCCCCCAAGCAAATCAATAAATGGCACTTTGCCATATAATATATTGGTCTTTTTGAGATAGGGTCTCCCTGTAGCTCCAGCTGGCCCTGGAACTCGCAATGTAGACCAGGTTGGCCTTGAACTTACAGAGACCTGCCTGCCTCTGCCCCCTGAGAACTGGGATTAAAGGTGTATACCTTGTATTAAAGAAAAAAACTTTCCTGATAAATCTTAAAGTTCCTCTTAAAACTGTTTTTTTTGTTTGTTTGTTTGTTTTGTTTTTTAAGTTGGGGGCTGAAGAGACAGCTCAGCACTTAAGAGCACTTGCTACTTTTGCAGAGATCCTGAGTTGGATTGCGAGCTCCCCGGTCAGGTGGCACCTTTAACTTCATCTCCAGTAGATCCAAGTTGGTCTGTGTTCACCTGCCTATACCTGCACATAACCCCCACATACACATATATAGAAATACATCTTTTAAAAAATATTGTTTTGGGGCTGGGTGTGGTGGCACACGCCTTTAATCCCAGCACTTGAGAGGCAGAGGCAGGCAGATTTCTGTGAGTTCAAGGCCAGCCTGGTCTACTTAGTTCCAGGCCAGCTGGGGTTACAGGGAGACCCTGCCTCAAAAAAAAAAAAAAGTATGTTCCCACAAAACCAAAATCAACAAGAACAAAACCACTCATTAAAAATGAGTAGCAGGCCAGGCATGGTGGCGCACACCTTTAATCCCAGCACTTGGGAGGCAGAGGCAGGTGGATCTCTGTGAGTTCAAGGCCAGCCTGGTCTACATAGTGAGTTCCAGGACACCTGGGGCTACAGGGAGACCCTGTCTCAAAAAGACCAAAAAAAAATTTATTTTGTGTATGATGATGTGTTGGGGGAGGGGTCAGAGGAGAACTTTGTGGAGTTAGTTCTCTGTCTACCCTTTCGTGTGTTCAGTCTTTGAATTCAGGTTGCTATGTCTGTGTAGCAAACACCTTTGTCCCCTGAGCCACCTCGCTGGCCCTTTCCCTTTGCACACCTCCCTAATCCTTCTCTTTCCTCATTCCTCAATTCCCTTACTCCAGAAATTTGGTACACATCTCCCTAAAGATGAAGACATAAGCCCTCCGAACCTCTGATACACTCTTGGTTGAAATTAATGGAAGAATGGGAGGTCATGGTAGTTGATAAAATGTCTTGATAAAGAATGTTCTCACATTTCTTTGAGACTTCACATTATTACTGTGGCTGTAATTTTTTTCCCCAAAACACTAAGGTAGAGAAAATGCATCACTGAAGCCTGTGTTTGGTGGAACGTGATCTTGTATCATCGGCTCTACATTTAATCTCACAGACACTCGACACTGAGCCTTTCAAATACATTAACCAAAAGCATAAAAAATATATTTGCAACAGGAAAATTATACTTACTCACTGCTGTATGGGATACATTTGTTTAAAGAAAAAAATGCTCACCAGCCTTAAAATAATTTATAATTTATTAAAACCCACTCAAACTCTGTGAACTTAAATTTCTACTTGCAGACCATACTCTTCAAATTAAAAGGTGGTTCTAACCAAGCTAAATCCAAACACAAAAACAAAACATGTTTTGTCTACATTTTATCCTTTTATTAAATATAAATGTATTCACTAATACTGGATTTTTTTGTTTGGTTTTGGTGAGTGTGTATTTGTGGGGTATGTGTGTGTGGTGGGGGTTCTGTTTGTTGGGGAAGGGTCTCAACTCTGTAGACCAGGCTGAACTGGAACTCACAATGTAACTTACAACAGCCCACAACTTGTAATAACCCCTCCCTCAGCTTTCTGAGTACTGGGCTTACAGGCATGAGGTGTCACATCTAACTTTTAACTGTTCTGGGTTTTGCCTATGACTATTTATGTGAATTTGAGAACACTGTACTTTCTGAAACTTTCTTTTCAAACTTTGTCTAAAATTCAGTTATTATCATATTGAGATACATAGTATTTAATTTCTGTATTTGTAGTGATGCACAGGAAAGTGGTAGATCCATTTACCTAGCCCTCCACTGATGATCATTTAGGACTCCTACTTCTGACGTATCAATATAGAAGCATACCACTATAAACATGTTCACTGTTTTCTTATTAATGTATCTTTAAAGATTTGTGTATATTATTATTTCTCTGTGTGTGTGTGTGTGTGTGTATGCCAGACCAAGGAGGGCACTTGTGTGTGTGTGTGTGTGTGTGTGTGT